CTGGAATCAGCTGTAGCCAGTGGCCACGCACCTCCCTCCGTCCTGCCCTGCCTGCCTGCACCAGCCCTAGCACCTCCCTTCACCAGCATTGCAAGGGTATAGGGAGGCTGTTCCTGCTTGCCCCTGTCGGTCTAGGTTTCTGCTGGCTGGGATGCAGACATGATGGCTAGAGCTTGGCAGCCCCCTTGGGCTCCCACACAGATCAGCCAGCTAACGCCCTACCCTCCACCCCCTGTTTCCAAGGAAACTAAGGTAAGGGAGCTTCTATTTATGGAGCACCTACTACGTGCCAGGCACTGTGGCTTATTTGTATTATATCTTCCCACAAACACCCTGAGGGAATGTGAAGCCCAGAGAGGGGCGGTAGTTTGTTCATGGCACACAGCACGTGAAGAGCAAAGCCGTATGCTGTGCGGGAGATGCTGCGTGCATCTCACTAATTAGTTAATGTCCCTGTAGAACTACTTTGGGTCCCACATGGAACATGATGGTAAGAGGGAGCATATACTGGGTCCCTGCGAAGTGCCAGGCCCTTGAACTCTTGTAGCTGACATTCAGGGTCGGTGTGATGATCCTCATCTTACAGATGCGGGGGCCGGGGTTCTGGACATCGTAAGGACTCGCCCAGTTACTAGTAAGGGACAGAGCCAAGGCTTTTCTCAGATCCCAAACGCAGGTTCTTTCCAGTGCCGGGCAGCCTCTAACGCCCACCCTCTGTGGGGGCAGCTGCCCCACCTTGACCTCCAACCCTGAACCCAGGGATCTGAAAGGCCCTCTGTGTGAGCGTTGTCACTGAACACGATGTACACGTTTTGGTGAAGAAAAGAACAAGAAGTAGGCAGGTTCTGGTTATGAGAAAATAACCAACTGTACAGGGAACTATCTTCTTGTGTTTTTGAGAAATCGTTTGCATAACCCGGTGTGATTGGTGATTCAGATGGAAATGCAGATGTTACCAGCCAAGCCTTTGTGATGTTTCCTAAGATTTCCCCCCACTTGCCTCCCCCGTGTTTTCCCGTCTTCTTTAGAAGCAAAAGCCTTCCTCTTCAGCCTTGAAGGGAAGTTCTGTCTGGGGTTACCTTTGACATGGACGCAGACCCCTTAGACTGGCCGGTAAAGCATGAGACTCCAGTGCAGGGAGCAGATCTGAGCTAAGCAGCCTCTGCACACAGCATCTCGAGCACAGCACATGGCTTTGCTCTTCCCGTGCTGTGTGTCATTAAGCAAACCACCGCCCCTCTCTGGGCTTCACTTGCCTCATCTGTCAAATGTGAGTGATTTTTTAAAAATTTCCTCTCGCTCACTGGTTTTCTGTGAAGAGAACAGACCTGACTCACATCTCAGCTCTGATACCTTCTAGCTGTATGACTTTGGGCAAGTCACTTCACTTCTCTATGGCTCAATTTCTTCATCTATAATTAGCAGCCAGCTCCTGTCAAGGAGTATATCCAGTAAGTTCATTTTCTGCCATGTATTAAGGACCGCCTGTGTGTCGAGCATAGTTCATTAGCACAGTTGGGCATCTGGCATTCTAATCACACTTCTACTGACACATCCCTACACAATAAAATGGGTGTGTCTCTAGTCTCTGAGGAAGAGGGTGGGCACTTCCGAGTTCTTGACCTTGTCTTAGTGAAGATGCGGATCCATATAACCGAGGCCCCCGTTGAAGTGGCTTAAACATAAAGAGTTGATGCTGTCATGTAAGAACAGGACAGAACAGGCTGTTCAGGGCTGGTATGGTGGCTCCATAGTCTTCAGGGGCCAAAATTCCCGGTCTTGCTGCTTTGCAAGCCAGCAAGTGGACTTAGTGAGTGGACTCATGGCCCAACATGGCTGCTGAGGCTCTGGCCATCACGTCTAGCCAGCAGGAAAGGAAATATGGGGGAAAGAAGAGCACTCCCCTTTTAAAGAGACCTCCAGGCAGAACCACATAACACTACCGCTTCATCCATTGGCCAGAACTTGTCGCAATGCTACACTCAGCTGCAAGAGAGGAAGGTGCCCGGCTATAAATTGAAGTCCTTATGACTAAGAGAAAAGGGGGAGAGTGAGTTGTAGATGGTTCCTTGCCATCTGTGACATAGCTCTGTTTTCAGGTTGGGGCTTTACAGCAACCTCAGAGCAACTCTCTGATGCAGCTACGCTTCTTGTCCCCATTTTACAGCTGAGGCAAGTGGAGGTCAGAGGATAGAGGGGTTTGCCCAAGAGCCGGTTGGTGAGCAGCAGAGCCCTTCTGCCGTAACCTAAAGCTGCAGAATGAGGACCTCCACTCCGACTATCAGGAGATCCCTTCCTGCCCCCCAGAGGACCCAGATTTTGTAGAGAAACTTCCTTCATCTTTACTTACCGGGGTTTAGAGCAGCCTTGAACTTAGCGGTCCCCTCCCCTCTCTGGATTTCAGAGTCATGGAGAGTTGGAGACAGAGCATTGGTGATGGAGGGCGAGGGTGAGGCCCAGGAGCTTAGCTTGGGACCCTGGGGAGGGCTGGGCTCTGCCCGCCCACCATGGCCCTCACTCACTGTCCTCCTGCAGGTCAGCGGCCACTTGGACTATGGCAAGCAGATGGACGTCATCCTGAAGGCTGTGGGCATCCCCACCAAGCCAGGCTGGGGCGAAAAGGGGCTTTTGATGGCCTCAGGCAACCTGCCCCAAGAGGAGCCTCGCCAGGCAGCAGCCGCCTCCTCATCAGACAAGACCACCGACCCGGATGGGCAAACCCAGGGTCCCGCACCCAGAGACACCTCCCAAGTGTCCACATCCGCTGACCCCAGCCAAGCCCAGGTGCCAATGGGGCTGGACCAACCCAAAGGGGCCTCCCTTCCTGCTGCTGCCTGCCCTGCGGAGAACCCCCAGACCTGCAGCCATGGCGTGAGCCCCAACCCACTGGGCTGCCCCAGCTGTGCCAGCGAGATCCAGGGACCCGGCCCAGGGCAGGATTGACCCCAAAAGGGGACTCAAGCCGTCTTCCCAGATTCCCATATGTGGTGCTCTCTTACCCCCGTCCACCGGGCTCCCCGCGGGAGCTCTGAAGAATTTCCACCAGTGCCTTTCCTAAACGAAGGCTTTGGGGTTGAAAAGCAAGGAATTGACAGGAGGGGGAACTGTAGGGAGACGATGGCTCCTCTCTGGAGAAGCAAGGCCAGAGCCCTGCAGAGTCAACGAAGCACAGGTGAGAGCCCTCGGACCCTGTACTCTAGGTCACACGTGGGGCTGGCTCTCCATCAGGAGATCTGGGGGGCTCTTTGGGGCCTGAGGTTCCTCTCCCCCCCCCCCCCCCCCCGCCTCAGTCAAGCCAGGTGTCTGCCTGCCCTTCCATCCACTCCAGGGCTGCCCTCCAGCCCACAGGCACCTCTGACACACCTACAGAGCGGGCACCAGAGGGAGCGGGCAGCTCACTCTCTCTGCTCTTGGGAGATCTGATCAGACCTGCCATGTACAGCCACATGGGCTGTGCACTGCACAACAGCAGGGGCGCCAGTCACACAGACGCGATGTGAAGGGCACCTCCCAAAATTGCACTGCGTGGCGGCCCTGGATGTCATTCTAGCAGAGCACGGCGAGCAAATGCTGAATCCGCATGCAGTACGTGTGGGAGCTGGGCCTGGTAGCAAGAGGGGGTTAGACGGGAAGGATTTCCTGTAGCAGGAGCAGAGGTGATGGTGATTGTAAAAATAAAGAATGGCTGCCACCCAGCGAGTGTTTACCGTGTACCGAGGGCTTAGGTGGATTGCCTCAGTTGACCCCCGCAACAACCCGATGAGGTAGCTACTAGTATCGTCTTCATTTTACACCTGTAGATACAGATGCCCGGAGAGGTCAGCTAACCTGCTCAAGGTCACATAGCTGGTCATCTCAAGCTTGTCAGCTGGCCCCCGGAGCCCAGCTCTTAGCCATTGTACCAGGTGCCACTGGGCCTGGACCAACCAGAAGGGGCCTCCCTTCCTGCTGCTGCCTGCCCTGCAGAGAACCCCCAGATCTGCAGCCATGGTGTGAGCCCCAACCCACCGGGCTGTGCCAGCGAGATCCAGGGACCTTGCCCAGGGCTGGACCCTGCCCAGGGCTGCACCTCTAATGACCTTCCCCTTTGTTCCTCCCACTGTCCATGAGGGGCAGGGCCAGAGAGCGTCCCCCCACCCACTGTGCAGATGGGAAAATCAAGATCCAGGCAGAGAAAGTATTGACAAGCTCTGGAGCAGGCAGTGGGGAGGAGAGATGGGAGGAATTGGCGTTGGAGCTGAACTGGTGCTCAGGGGCATGTGTATTTGTTCATTCATTTAACAAATATTTACCGAACTCTTGCTGCCATTAATCCAAACAGCGCGTGGGAAACTGAGGCCCCGAGAGGGTAAGGGACTTGGCTGAGGTCCCAGAGCAGATTAGGGGCAGAGTGTGGACATGAACCCAGGCCACCTGTGCCAGGGTCTCTGCCCGCTGCATCAGCAGCGTCTCCAGCCCGAGTGGCCCCTCAGACGGATCCAGTCCACACTCCAGCGAATCCAGTCCACACTGCAGTCACTGCTGTCAGCTCGTGTTTATTGATAGTCCACTCCAGCAGGCCTGGGGCAGAGAGGAGCCCCAACAAGCACCATGGACCCTCCGCAGCCAGGGCCGGAGTCTAGTCAGCACCAAGGGGAGTGCCCGGCCACCTGCGGAGCCCCCTGGGCGTTTGGGTGGATGGAACTTGGTGCCGGTGGAGAGTAAGAAAAACCTCAGACTGAAGATTAAAAATGGCAGCAGAGTAAGTGGACACACTCAGGAAAAACCTCAGCCCAAAAGGAACCTACAGCAGGTAAAGTGACTGAGCGCTCCCTCAAACACAGAAAATAAAACAAGCCCTGACCGGTTTGGCTCAGTGGATAGAGCGTCGGCCTGCGGACTAAAGGGTCCCAGGTTCGATTCCGGTCAAGGGCATGTACCTTGGTTGCGGGCGCATCCCCCGTAGGGAGTGTGCAGGAGGCAGCTGATCGATGCTTCTCTCTCATCGATGTTTCTAACTCTCGATCCCTCTCCTCTCCTCTCTGTAACAAATCAATAAAATATATAAAAAAATAAAAAAACAGGTCTCTGTACCAGGGTTCACCTGCCTGCTTGACGCACCAGCCCACACCAGGGGCAGCTCCTCTTCAACTCCGCTGACCTGAGTGGCCACCTCTCCCTCTTCCCTCACTGACCCAGGAAAGGCCAGAAGGAGGTAGGGCCAGGGGATGGTTCTGCATCAGCAGGTCCCCTTCTAGGTCCAACGAAGCCCAGGGCAGAGGAACACCCATCCCAAATGTTGAGCAAAAAACCACCAGCCACCCCTGTGCCCCAGGAGAGGCAGTGCCGTAGCCTGGGAGCTGGGATGGGGCTGAAGAAGAGGAAGAAGATGGGGGAAAACAAGGGGAACAAATGGCCCTCCCTGGCCCGCAGCCAGAGGCCGGGGGGCTGAATGCCGGGAGGTGTAACAACCACAGGTACCACCGACTATCTGCCGGGTGCGGGCATCGATGCACACTGTCCCCGTTCTCATGGCAGCCTACGAGGCAGGCAGCCTACGAGGCAGGCATCATTGCCCCATGTTGCACATACAACAGGCTCAGAGAGGTTAAGTAACCCGTGCAGAACTAGTAAGTAATGGAGCATGGATTCCAGTTGAGGCCTGCCTGACTCCCAGGCTCAGGGGTTCCCTGTGAGGCCACACACATCCGAGGGGCTGGCTGGTCCAAAAACCGTCCAGCAAACCATCCTCAGGGTTAAGGATCAGCTAAGCCAGCACACCTCAAACCACGCGCACGCACGAGTCACCGGGGACCTGGCTCACATGTAGATTATGACTCGGCAGGTCCGGGGCGGGGGCAGAGGTGTTCGTTTTCAACAAACTCCCTGGAGACCATGCCCACGAACTACAGTTAGAGGAGCAAAGGGCTCAGCCTGCACTGACCCGTCTCTGCAGACATGCAACCTGATAGAATGTGCAAAGGCCATGGTCTTCACCCTAATCTGAACCAAGGGCCCCCTGCCCCGCTCCCAGAGCCCTCCAACCATTCTCTACACAAGTGACACTCAGCAATGCAGCCTCCTGGAGACACTGTATGAAGCCAGCGATTACCCCGCAGGTGGAGGACCCCAAGTGGGTAGTGGGTCTGATTCAGTGCACCCCACCAGAGTTCAGAGGGCCCCCGAGAGACCTACAGCTTCCTGGCCTCAGCCAAGAGCTGGCCCAAGGCCTCGGGGGCTTGGTTGCACCCAGTCCAGCTCCCCCCTGACCAGCCACAAGCCCCATCAGTTCGTGGGGGCACCAAGCAGATGCAGCCGCAGCTGGGGCTCCACGGGATCCCTGTTGAAGAAGTTGACGGTGGCAGAAGTCCTGGCAGGCGGCAGGGTGTCCCGGGTGGCCTCTCCCGGCAGCAGCAGCTGGGCCGTGAGCTGCAGGCCTGAGGAGCCCCCTGAGCCTGAGTCAGGGTCGGAGTC